TCAATAATTCATTTCAGATGTTTCTCGGGGCTTACTACTCCCGTCAAAAGCAAAGCTGGCTAAAGCTGCCAGAGGTGACAAACCGGGTTGAATTGTGGGGACCCCGGCCCCTTTYTTTYATKTTGGCAATMAAAMAAAMATTYWWTWAAAAAAAAAAAAAAAAAAAAAAAGGGCGACGGCCTTGACATATTATCATTGAGCTGACCAGCCCCAAGCAATTCATTAGTAGTTGGTTTTACTTGTCAAGTTCCATCATCTGGATTCGAACACAGCACCTGGTCTGTATTTCAACAGTTCATGGGTGTACCCACTGAGCTAGGCTCCTGTTTTTTTTTTGTTTTTTTTTTCAAACGCAAAAATTTTGCGAGTGAATCTGCCAGCAGAAAGTTGCACGACAAATCCCAGCTTCCTCATGAGTCGGTGAAACTCCGACGAACCAGTTACTCACAGCCCTCGTTTGTTGTCCTCTTCTCCGTCTTGTCCCTCTCTCCCTGCCGTTTACCGGGCAGCCCCGTTTGACAACGGGTCTCGCCGCACGGCGCACGAAACTAAAACGAAACGAGTGCATCTGCCCAACAAAGGTGGCAAAATACACTCGTTACCATTTATAGCAAACCGACGAACCTGGCCATTTTCTGTGGGAAGATTCATTCGTTTCGTTTTTCGCTTCATGTGGCGTGCGGCAACGTCCTATATATACAGTCGTAGATGTATCTTGCCACGTTTTGAGGGACGGTGGACTCGCTGTGTTTTTCGTCTAATAACCCCTAAGAAAAAAAAAGAAAAAAAAAAAACGAGTCGGTGGGGAGGGCAAGTACGAGGCTGTGCTTTGCCGGCATTTCGCGTCGAGGGGGCTCTCTGACGGCATACTCACACTACGACTTCTTTCTTACTTATGGACGTAATTGCAGTCAGATGCATCCCGCGACCGCCGTAAATGTGGTCAGATACATTAAAGATAGAGCCAGTGTGAGTGAGTACGCCCTGAGGTGGCCACGGTACGGTCTCTGGAGGCAGACCATGGAAGCTCCATGGTCTCATCTACCTCCCTCCACGCAACCACACACCTCCATCGCCTGCACTCGTCTGACGTTCGAGGACAAAGCTGATCCACTAGAGAGGACGATCAGCCTAATCGTTATCGAGCCCGTTGACTATGGCGGGCGACAGATGTCGGCATCTTGTCGCCGTTCGCTGGGCCAGGCGCTTACAGTAAGAGCGGTGAGAGAATCGTCCTCCTCTCCATTGACATCCTCCTGTCCTCAGTCAGGCTGTATATATTCTTGTCCTTCCTCCACCTCTGCCATCGTCGCCTCCAACCTCCCCCAACCTCCTCCGGCATGATCTTGTCCTTCCATCTCTCTCGTCGTCCCCTCCCTCAACCTCCTCCATGACCTTCCTCCAGCTTCACAATCGTCTCCGTCCATCTCTTTTCTACAGCTTTTTCTTCCTCCATATCCTTCTCGCAGCTTCTTCCTCCATCTCCATCTCCTTCCTCCAGCTTCTTCTCCCCCCTCCACCTCATGACAGTGTATGGTCTTGTCCTTTGTCCAGCTTCTTCTCCCTCCTCCTCCTGCATGATCTTGGCCTTTCTCCACCTCTTCCATCTCCTGCTTCCTCAACCTCCCTCGATGTCCTTCCTCCATGATCTTCTTCCTCCACTTCCTTGCTAGAGCTTCTTTTTCCTCCGTCTTCTTCCTCCAGCTTCTTCAGAATCTACCTCCAGCTTCTTCCTCCAGCTTCTCCTCCCCCCACTTTCTGCATCAATCCCCTCGATTTTCCTCCATGGCAACAACCTGCTAACCCCTACGCCCATCTCCTCCGTCGTCTATTTCCGCCACTCCCTCCGTTTTCTTCTCCCTCCGCGTCTTCCATCCTCTTCTCTCTCCCTTCCCCGCCATCCGCAGTACACGTCAGAAAACGGCAGCTCAGCTTCTCCGAAATCCCGCTCCCCCCCCCTCCCCCCTCCTTCCCCCACCCCCCACCCCCTCCTCCGAACAAAAGAACACAAGGTTTCTACAATATTCACAAAAGAAGATTTGCCTTTTACCTTAGATCAAGTGTAGTATCTGTTCTGATCAGTTTGGTATCTGATCCTTCCTCCGTCGGCCCACATATGAGAAGAAGAAGAAGAAGAAGAAGAAGAAGAAGAAGAAGAAGAAGAAGAAGAAGAAGAAGATTCGCGTTTGGAAAGCAGAAGCTGTTACAGTGGTGCGTTCTCGAATTTGACCCTTCTGAGACGGCTTTACAAAAAACAAAAAGAAAGAGAGAGAGAGAGAGAGAGAGAGAGAGAGAGAGAGAGAGAGAGAGAGAGAGAGAGAGAGAGAGAGNAAAGGGTATTATGGACATGTGAGGAGGTGGGTATGGAAATTGTAGTCACGATTCCAGGGAGAGGACGGCGGGAAAGGCAAAGAAAGTCCGGGAGATAAGGAGAGAGCGCGGGAAAGAGCGGTGGAGGCAGCGAAAAAAAAAGAGAGAGAAAGAGAGAGAGAGAGAGAGAGAGAGAGAGAGAGAGAGAGAGAGAGAGAGAGAGAGAGAGAGAGAGGGGGGGGGGGGGCGCTATATTTAGCTGCCTCCGTCATTATCCCTCGCCATCAATGTGAGACATTTACTTTTGACAAACATATGACAAACATTATCTTTCTTTTCTTCATTTACTTTTGACAAACATTATCTTTCTTTTCTTTTCTTTTCTTCTGTCAATAGAGCGGCAGTCCCTTCCCTTCCTAGCCTGCCGGTGGGCGGCCATCTCTCAGCTTTAGTTGGCACTGTCCGAGTCGAACCTTGAAGGAAGAGAATTCTCTTCCTTTCTTAGAAGGGCGATGGTCTCGAGATATCATCATTGAGCTGACCGGCCCCAAGCAATTTAGAGATACTATTTCGTTTTACTCACCAAGTTCCATCATCTGGATTCGAACTCGGGTCTGTCCGTATTTCAACAGTTGGACTTCATCATTGGGTGTACGCCGCTGTACGGTGTACCCACTTAGCTAGGCTCTTGGGTGGAAGAGAATTCTCTCCCTTTGGTGACGACGAGCCCATTGGTCTGAATGGTTTTGAAATTCTAGTCCAGGAAGTTCACCACGTAAGACCTCCCTGCCCTTCTTCCCCCGAATTTAGACTGAAAGATGCCCCAAATACACAGCTATAATCACGTCGGTCATTCTTGCTGTATTTAGACTGAAAGATGCCCCAAATACACAGCTATAATTACCGTACGTTGTGTTCGGATGAAGACGAGTACTTGGGTTGTTTTGCATTCCAATTATGCTGCTCCCTTCTGATCAGTGCAGCATAACTGGCGGTGCATCTTTCCATGTTCTACCGGAAGATTCATTCTCATTGTGCACAAAAGCGTGGGCCTCGCTCCACCACTCACCAAAAGTAATGCACAAAAGTCAAAATGTGGTCGTGTATCTTTCCATGTTGTACGGGAAGATTCATTCTCATTTTGAACATTTGTTTGGTGAGTAAAGGAGCGAGGCCCCATGATATCCAACTTTCCGTGGATAGCGCCTCTTGGAGCTACGTCCCGGGCGATGGTGTGCTTAGGGTCCTTCTTCCATTATTTTTTATTTTTTATTTTTATTTGTTCCTTCCATGATTTTTTATTTTTATTTGTTCCTTCCATGATTTTTTTGGTATTATAACTAGTAATTTTTGACTGTTTTGGAGCTTACATTGTTCGAACTTTGAACTTCGGAGTTGGCCCCTCTCCCGGGGGGGCCGGGGAGGGGGGGGGGGGGGGGGGGGGGGGGAGGGGAGGAGAAGAAAAAAAGGTTGGCCCCTCTTTACCCTTCGTCATCTCCTCATCTCATATCGTCCCGCATCACGGGTTCACTTCCCTTCTTCTCCTCCCTCCACCTCCCCTGTCACCCCTTTTGTCTCCGCCTTCTCCTTTCTCAACCTTTGCCTACCTCCACCTCCTCCGTCCATCTCCACCATCTTCTCCTCCATCCATGTCCACTATCTTCACGTCTTCCATCTTCTCCTGCCTCAATCGCCTCCATCTCCTCCACCATCTCTACCTTCTTCTCTCTCCACCATCTCCATCACCTCCTGTTTCCATCTTCACCACCTTCTCCTTTCTCCACCGTCTACATCTCCTCCTCCCTCCGACTCCACCATCTTCTTCTCCCTCCATCTCCGCCTTCTACCGCCTCCGTCTTCTCCTCCCTCGATCTCCACCATCTCCTTCTCCCTCCATCTCCACCTCCTCCCTTCCTTCCGTATACTGCTTGGAGTAAAAGATCCTTAGTACGTCTTCTTTCCACTATTAATAGAATTACGTTTTTTTTTTTTTTTTTGGTTAATTATGAGATTTTCTGACCAGGAGGTCACCCGGGCTGCCTATTTTCAAATTCCAACTCGCGCCACTGGACGGCATTCCGTCTGACGCCCCGATCCCGATCCTGTACGGAACATTCCGGCAAGCCAGATTAAAACGCGGACGTTTATCCATAACATAACATAAAACAATCAGGGATTATGCAGCAGCTCACATGGCTGCCTGCCTTCTTTTTTCTTTTTTCCCCTTCTCTTTCATACGAAATGACATCTGTCTGATGTCACTGATGACATGTCTATAGTGTCCAAGTATCTTTGACCAGCTTCCCGTGTCATCACTGACCACATCTTTAGTACGTTTTGATATGGCTTGGGAGGAGTTCTCCTCTCCCCCTCCCCCCCCCCCCCCCCCTCCCTCCCTTTCTCTCTCTCTTTTACACACAGGGGTCTGAGGGGTGGAGTTGCAGTGGTCGCAACCATCTCTCCCTCCCGTTTTCGTTTTGGTTTTGGGTCTTCGCCAGCAAGCGGTCGGATCGGTGTCGTTATTCCCATCTGGGGGGGGTGGGCAGTTCCTTTTTCTTTTCTTTTTTTTTCTTGGGAACAGAAGGGTGCAGTTCCTGCGGAGGCCGGCATCCTGTCTCTTTTTTCAAATGGCGGCCGTGTGTTCGAAATCTAAGTTAGTTGTTGTTTTTAAACGAGCGTAAGGGCAATTGCCAGTGAATTGACCTTTATTGAAGTAGTCAGGGCATAATCACACCAGGACTTCCTCCGCGACTATCTGGCTCTTAGTGGACCCAGATAGGGTCGGGAAGATCCTAGCAGCTAATAAGCCTAACGTGATGATGCCCTACCTTCGATGGACAACCTTCCGTTGCCAGCTTTTGCTCAGTCATCATGACATGCAATAGGAATCTCCTCCTCCTCCTCCTCCTCCTCCTCTTCCTCCTGCTCTTCCTGCTCCTCGTCCTCCAGCACCTGCTCCTCCTCCTCCTCCTCGTCCTCCTCCTCGTCCTCCTCCTCGTCCTCCTCCTCTTCCTCCCCTTCCGCCTGCGCTTCCTGCTCCTCCTACTCCTCGTCTTCCTCCCCTTCCTCCTGCTCTTCCTCCTCCTGGTCCTCCAGCACCTGCTCCTCCTCCTCCTCCCCTTCCTCCTGCTCTTCCTCCTCCTGGTCCTCCAGCACCTGCTCCTCCTCCTCCTCCTCCCCTTCCTCTTGCTCTTCCTCCTCGTCTTCCTCCTTTTTCTACTGATCTTCCTTCTCCTCCATCTCCTCCTCCCTCCTTATCAACTTCCAACCTTCCGGCCGAGCCCACGGCACTAGAGGGCCTTGAAGTCTTCAGTCGCCTGAGGGCCCCGCAATGGTGGCCAAAAATGCAGTAGGATGGCCGAACCGCTGCCCTCTCTCTCTCTCTCTCTCTCTCTCTCTCTCTCTCTCTCTCTCTCTCTCTCTCTCTCTCTTATATTGCCACGCCCGCGACACTAGCACCTGCTGCTGTTCTGGCCCGCGCGCGTAATCCTTCTGCCGCCCGCTTGCTTTCATGTACGGACAATACAAGTAAGCAGTCTCTTTCTTTTTCTCAAAACCTTCCTTTCTTCATCCCGTTTCCCTCTTTCTCACTCTCTCTAATTGCCCTGGATTCCTCGCCACCCCCTTTCTCCCCTGTACCTATGTTCTCCACTCTTTCAAAGCACCTAGCTCGAAGGCCCGACCAGGTTCATTCAGCTCCTCAATCACAGAACCAGGCAGCCGATTGTAACAACTCACCGGGGGCGACCACGACCACAAGCATTTGAATGAACCGGATCGCGACGATGGGTAGGTGCAGGCCTAGTATTGAAGAGGCTAATACGATCAAGATGACGAAGGTGATCGGAAATACGCCTGGCTGACGATGGCGAGCGTGATTCGGCGGCCTCGGACCCACTACTCACCCAATCGTGAGAATGAATCTTCCGCTAGAACATGGAAAATATACATTAATAGTTTTATTTAATTTATTATGATTATTATTATTATTATGCGTGTATGGGGTAAAGGCCGACGTCCAGGTTCAGTCAGTCCTTACTTTCCCACCTCTCCCGACTCTTCTCACCCTTCTTCTCGACTCCTTCGTCACTCTCTCTCTCTTCAACCCCTCGTTCATTTCTTCCCAATTCTTCCACTGTATACGTTCTCCTCCGAGTTTTGATCTATCTTTGGGCCAGATCCCAATGGCAAAGAGGATTGGAAGAAATGTCTGAATCTGGACGTGTTTGTGGACAGATGCAAAAAATTGCGATTGATCTACTTTTCTGCACCTCTGCGTGGAACACGTCCAGATTCAGACATTTCTTCCAATCCTCTTTGTTCTCCTCTATCTCCTACTTCAACGTATCTCTAGCCCCTTCAATCATGTACCTGCCCGCATTGTTCCGTCTGCCCGTTCCCTCTTGCGCTTGTTCCTGTGCGCTGGTGAACCTGGCCCATACTTAAGCCAGGTTAACTCACTTTCTACAGCCCACACGGGCAGCGAGCACAGACGACGGCCTCAGTCACTAGCGCGAACGATCCTAAAGACAGGCTGCGTGACGGCCGGCATGAAGACCACTATGGTGAACTCTCGGACGAAGATATCCGATGTACCAATGACCATGATGATAAGGAGAAGCCCCACAATCATGATGATGAAGGAACCGATCTGTTGTTGAAGGAGGCGTTCGATTCCCTACGCACTGAATATACGAAAAGGGAATGAATCTTCCCCTAAAACGTGGGAAGGTTCATCGTTTTTTTTTCTTTTTCTTTTACTACAAAAACTTCATTTATGGGCGCAGCTCCTGCACTCGATTCCGGCCATCTCACTATCCGAAAGCGGAATTTGACGACACCATCACATTTGCCCTGGCTGAAACCCGCTGAGATGAGTCTTTGTTTGCCCGTCTCTGTCGTGGAACGGGCGAGAAACACCTTCTTCCTCCTCTCCATGTTCTTGCTTGTCGTCTTCGTCATCTCTCGCTTTTCTTCTCTTTCGTTGATGCCACTTTTTCTCCCCGTCCCCCAGCTATCTCGCCTCTCTATAGCGCAGTGCAGCCTCCAACCGGCCGTCCGACAACAATCCGTTTCTGACCTCAAAAGCTCACCTCCGCGCTATCAGACTCTAAGGGCCTCGTTAGACACTCCTTGTGGACCCGAAATCCACAAGGAAATGATCGTTACACTTATCATTGGGGACGATGGTCGAAAAAAAATGTGAAAACACCACAAGGACGTTTCCTGGTGGCGTCCTTGTGGCCACAGCCAATTTTCCCTAAACCCCAAGGGACCTCCCGAGGTCCCTCGCAACACAAGGAAGCGCGAAATTCGGAGTGACGAAGGCACGCGTCGACGCACAATTTCGGTTGGAGGGTGGTCCAGACGTGGTCCGCCGAAAGGGAGCACGGACATCTCCGCGTCGAAAGTCTACTCGTCGTCCCAATGGCTCCAAACGGTAACCGGCGGCGCGAGGCCTCCGTCTGTCCGCGTGACTCGACGGCCACCGCCGTCGTGCGGTCTGCTCCGGCGGGCGATCGTCGACAACGGTCCGAAATTCGAAAGTTTTTGTACACGGCTCCCCGTTCGGCGACGACAGTCATTCGACAGGATTGTCGTTTTCTTCCACTGCCGTCACGCCTCGCACGTTTGAGCACAGATCTTCCACCGATTTTCCTTGTCTCAACGACCTTGTTCGTTGAACGGTCCACTGCCAACGTCGGTTTTATCCCCTTCGAACGGCCCTTACATGGCCGACCTGCTGCACAGGCTTCCCCTGCTGTTCCTCGTTGTCTTGCTGCTTCTCGCCGTTGTCTTCTACCATGTGTGTCTCGTCGGCCTCGTCCCGGTCGCGTCTCGCAGAAGGAGATCTCCCAGGAAGGCCGACAGGATGGCTGGACGGCTGTCGAACGGCAGACCGGCAGGCACATCCGGTGGATCTATCAATCGCCAACGCAGTGCGGGGTCGGTGGCGAAGCAGCCGTACAACCCGAGGTTGTATGCGCACCTGCGTTCTCACGAGATTCCTCTGCCGCTGTCGGATGACGAGGGGGGGGAAGCCAGGTCGCCGACTTTGCCGTTGGGAAGCGGTTCTACGCAGGACTGGGCGGCAACTCAATCGTGCGGCGGCAGGGGGGTGGAGACGCCGTGGTCTTACACGTCACTTATGAACGAGGGGCTGTGCGATGACGACGGCGATGCAGCGGTTGATCTGAGCTTTCATCTGTCGAGCAGCAGCGGAGCAGCCGCGATGCACACTCGGATCATCAATCCCCACCTGGGTGGGGATTGCGCGGACAACACGCGGAGCGTCGGTGGAGGTGATCGTAATAACTCGTCGCCGAGCGTCGGTGGAGGAATCGGTGCGCGTAAACGACCGGACTGGATGCGCTTGTCGCCTGCAGTGCGAAGCGGACCCGGCGGTACTCCAGGGCGGCAGCCGGCGGAGGATTTGATCGGGGGAGTTCCGGACGTGCAACGCGACAGCAGGCAGGTCTGGGCAGAATGCAGGCAGGAGTTGCATCGAGGTGAAACGGAGACGATCACCAGAGGGGTGCAACGGTTGCATGTCGATGAAGTGGAAGACACGGCTGTTGATGAGGGGCAGGGGTGTGACGACGTGGACGGCGAGGACGGTTGCAAGTCCGACGATTTGCCAGACATCAGGCCTCTTGGGAGGAGGGCGACGAGAGGCGGATCCGGTGCTAAGAAGGGCCCCGCCACGAAACCGAGACAGACAAAGAACATGGATGACGATGGCGAGGGCGGCCGGAATTTCTGGTCGGTGGGAGACACGGTCGCGCTCGTGAGGGCGAAAAGGGATCAAGATCTGTATATCGCCGGCCTGGGGACTAGTTTCACCCGCATGAAAACGGCCACGTGGAAGTGGGAGGACGTGCGGGTGAGGTTGCAGGCGATGGGAGTGACGAGGGATGCCGTCGACTGCGGGAAGAAATGGGACAACTTGATGCAGCAATTCAAGAAGGTGCACAAGTTTCAGAACCTCTCCGGCGGGAAGGACTACTTCAGGCTTGCTTCGAGGGACAGGCAATCGGAGG